TTTTTTATTTCATTTTTTTTCTTTCAATTTGTTTGTGATTTTATTTCATTTTATTATGTTTTATGTTATTTAATTTTTCATTAGTTAATTTTTTTATTTTATATTATTTAATTTCCTTGCTATTTGGTTATTTTATTTTATTCGAACAAAAAACATTGGGGAGTCATTTTCTTAAGTATTTATATTCTGATTGAATTTCGTTAATTTCATCATCACTTCGCATTGTCGACATTATTATGATAACATAAGATAATAGAACACACTAAGGATTCCAACCACATTAGTATTGAGCAAAAATATGATACAAACAAGAGTTCTTAATTAAAAGTGTTTGTGCCATGTAATTTAGAAGTTTTGTGGCACAAACATTACATATGTACATGCATTCAGGTGTGCGTACATATTTACAAAAGCCCGTATTGCTAAGCGAAATTTATATTTTTTATCAGCATCTGTCGCAATAACCGTATAGGTACAAAAAGCATATACGAGTATGTACATATGTATCTATCTAGATATTTTTTCTCTATGTACATTGTACATGCAAATACAAATAAACTTATGAGAATGGAACGTTATCTGAAAATAGTGCGTAAGCTTTGCAGAGAAATTTCTTCACAACAAAGCAACAACAGAATATACTGATACATAAATAAATTTGCATGGGATACACATTAAAGAAATAGTATAACAATAACTCGGATGTTAGTTAATAAGTGTGCCACTTTATCATTTGAAAATTTAAAATTAAAAACAACAATACAATTTTATTTACCACATGAGTAATAAGAAAATTATTTTTCTCTATTGGCCTCGTCACTCAACTCTGTAGAGTGATTAATCTTCCTTTGCTCCCAACTGCGAGTACTTCATCGAATACCTACAAAACTGTAACGGCGTGCTGTCTCTTGATTCCCGGAACTATGTCAATGTCAACTTATATTTCATACATCTCATCGTTTCGAAAATAGTTACTATCGATTTATAGGCAATGTTGGTAGTGGTGATGCTGGTGGTGTCCAGATACTCGTTGAGGAAATTGCCTACAACTGAAAAGTAATGATGTGGGTGCCAAGCTCTGACTGTTTGCAGCAGCACTGAAAATACGGTTGTAAAAGCTAATCATATCAATAGCATTAGCACACTTCAGTAGGTCTGCACTGTTACAGAAGATTGTACCCTTCATGTTTAGCAGTTTGGATCATATACTCCAGCATTAAATTATAAGAATAGAACGTAAATTTTATTGACCTTATCAGTTTCTTCCCGATTCTGACGGAGCTTGTTCAAAGATTGTTGGCAGAGACTGTAATGTCCCACTTTTTTATGAAATGAGCATCCATTCTTCTAGCATGCTATTGATGATTTAGTATTCTTAAGACTGGTAATTACTTATCGGAATTCATCATATTTGGGTAATGGCATGTCTTTATCGTCGTCATATATTGAATATTCGGACTCAGCATTTTCAGGTGTTTAACTTTCTGCAATTCAGCAGATCTATTCTCGGTCGCAATAATCGAGTAGCTACTTTCATACCGAAAATTATCGGTTCGAGTCTTTCCCGACTAACATCCAAAATTATAAAAAATTAATATAAATAAAAAATATCTTGATTTTCACGATGTACGGCATTTTTTCTTTTTTGGCAGCAAATGGGTCTCGCCTCCATCTCCAACTCTCGGCATATGTCTAATACAGCGCGTGTTGCGCGTTGAGGTATAAAAAAGAATGCTTAGAAAACACGGCAAATGAGTAAGGTAAAAAATAAATAACGGTACATAATACCAAAAATGTATGCAATCGAAAGCAAATCCCAATTAATTAAGATGAACATAATTATATTTAAAAAAAAAATAATTTTCATGGTGATCTTCTCCCACCACTTTTTCACGCTTTACAGACTCTGAACTAAGTCAAACATGAAAGGGGTTTTGCACTTAATTGTAAAGAATAAATATTTACTTTGGATTAAAAAAGAAATACGGTGAATAGAAACGAAAAATATGCAGTTCAGATTAATAAACGTCAAACTTATTCAAGAACAAGAAATAAAGCAAAGTAAAAGAATACAGAAGTTTATTACATAAACTCATTTAATTAATTTTAATTGCCATTCTTTATGATGTGTAGCAAAACAAAAGTTTTTAACTTCCCAATAAGATTTTATTTCATTATTTTTTTGATTTGCAACTATTAAAAGAAATGGAAAAAGTAAAGCCATAAAGTTGCACAGGCGTGAAACCGAAAGTACGCTAGAAAATAGTTTTTCTTTTTATGAAGTTGACGCTGTTTATTCCCATTTGGATGGTTTTTTGTGCCTAACAGTTTTTATTTTAACTAACTATTTGCTCATAATGCAAAACAATGCTGAATATGAAAGATTACAAGTATATGTATATATACATATGTAATGATATTTACAGGGCTATTCCCATTGTTACCGGTAAAGTAAATTTTGTTACTTTTTTTAACACCCAAAATTGAATTAGGTTTCTAGCGCACTGGTCATCAAAATGGAAGACGGGGCGCAACAAAATAAAAAAAAAATTTTTTTGCTTGTTTATTAAGTCATAAATAACTGAAACTAACTACAAGACGACAAAAAAAGCTTAATGAAAATGCCGTCTCCCAAATTGGAATGGTAATTTTTTTGATCTAAAACTTCTTAACATACAGCTTTTTGCACTTTTTTCTTGATTTTCAATGAATTCTAGACGTAAAATACGCCTACAGATTTTGGTTTTTATTTTTTCTCAAACCAATAACACAACACCAAAGAGCATATTATTTGTTAACTCCTATTTCGTCAATTCAGAATGGTAAATATTAATACCAAAGCAAATTTTTCTGGTTTACAATTTTTGCGAAATATATATATTCAATATTTTCCAATAATTACCAGCTTATCTTTTTTTTGTTATCACTTATAGACACATATATATACGAGTATGTATGCATATACAGAAAGCAGCAAAGGTGTGTTTCCGAATTCTATACAGTTCAAATATAATATAATTTCTTAATATCTAATATCTAATATCTCGAAGTAGGGACAAGCCTCTGTATGATTTTCAACCATGAAAAGTACTCATTAAAAACATTTCAGTGGCGGCAAAAATCTGTTAGACCGAGATTCTCCATTGTATACTTAACACCATTTTAATGTTATTAAATGTTACGTTTGTGTGACATTGTTTTGTTTAAGCAACGATAAGGTCTATTTGAATGAATAACTTGTTCGCAGACGCACTTTTTTTATATGTACGTACCTATTACTGCAAGAAATATACGAATATACCAAGTTTCTTCTAAGTTCAATAATTTTATTTATTTTTATATTTTCGAAAAACTTCGCAAGTGTACAATATACAAACAGTACATATTTAATAGATAAACTACACTACACTAAATTTTTTTATTTTATTCTTTTTTTGTTTTTGCAAAGAGTACATGGTACTCGTTTTACAGTATTTCTCAGCATTTTAGCATAAACTCAAATTAAGACATTTTTAGCGGATTTCAGCCGAGCTTGTCCTCCAATTATTGGTACGCGTCTTGATGCAAATTTTTTGAGAAATTTGCCAGGAATACACTCGGAAGATATCCCCTGCAGAACGGTGACCACAATTAGTTAAATAAATTTTCTGTATTTTTTGATTTTTTCCAAACGGTAGTACGCACTGCTAGTCACTCGGCTATTGCGGCCTTGTTTAGGCATGAGGAATATACAAAAAAATGAGTGCAGCTTGAAAGATTTCATAAAATTCTGAAAGCTCTTCGTATATTTGAATGAGAAGTTTTGATAAAAAAAAATGTGCGTATTAAACACAAAGACATGTAATAATTAGAGGAGACCTTGTACAAAGTTAGATTTTTTAGCTTGAAGCCAGCATTCTTAAAGATTAGGAATGGACTTAAATACATATTTATTCTTTTTATTTTAAATAATGAAAATTAACCGGATAATACTTTTAATCAATTTTTTAACAAATTTAAATTAGGTAAGGCGAATAGTAAAATAATTGAATTAAGCATCAGCGAAAAATGGATTTATTAATTTCTCTTTATCGATAAGTTGCAATTTTATGAATTCAGATAGAAAAAAATTAAAATTTATATTTTATAATTTTAAAAATAATCTAAATGAATTACAACACCTATTTTCATTAAGTTCATTAAGGAAAAATATACATTTACCTTAAAGCACACCTGAGAAATCAAGAACATTATTTTTTAAGAAGTAAACTGCTATTGCACAGAATATTCGAAAGTTAATTGAGATAAATAAATATATGTAAGTATAAACTTAATTTTGCAATAATATTAACTAAATAAAAAAGTTTAGATTTCGCTAATAAATATATTGGAATATTTTCTGTTCATGAAAAGGTATTTTCCTGGTTGACAATGCGCTTCTAAACGAAAGGTCCAAACCGAGCAAGATCAACATTAAAATTAATTATATAGGGAGCATATTTTAAAAAACGTCAACAAGAACCCTCCGTGTGTATTTCTGTCATGAAATCGAAATTCACCAAAAAAAAATTCACGTTTCTTTAAATGTCGATCTTTCAGAGACCCTACACTCAGATAAAAAAAAAAAATTATTTGAAAAACAAAGAAAAAGCTCTGGTAAAGAGGTCTCCATGCACATATATGATAAGAGATTTGGACAAAAGCGTCTTATTTGTTACTAATTTCTTTTTTATAGACACTTCTTATAAATAAAAATTATTATATCTCCCACTAATTGTTTAGATAATTCTGTTGACATTTTAAATTGTGTAATAATTCAGCTCACCATCTTTTATTGTTAATATTATTTCTTAAATTGTGAAAGGTATTTTATTTCTATTATTATTAATAAGTTCTAATAAATATTACATAGGAAGAGAGAATCGCAATTAATGGCTTTTAAAAATAAAATCATAAAGCGTAAAAATTTTTATTTAAAAATCTTTGAATGTATTTATCAAAATTATTGAAATAGAACTTACCTACCAAACAATTAACTCGATTTTCATTCACAAATTTTGACAATTAATACATGTTTTTTTTTAATGTTAACAAATTTTTAAATGCAGAATAAATATAATATTTGATTGCAATATTAACTCTCTAGTAAGTCTCTTAAAAACGATTTTCGCTATTTAACTTGTTTATAATTTTTCGAAATGTGATTAGTAAGTAAATTAATTACTTTCTTTAAATTAGTACACGCATATTCTGTTTTGCTTTGGTTTATTAGTCTTTGATTGCTAAAAGAATCCTTTTTTACATACACACTAAAAAAGGTTCATTTAAATAGATTTTCTGCTCACTCAATTCGTACACAAAGCTTCCCTTTTTTGTGGCAACAATTACATACTCGACTGGCGCGACAACTTCCCGCGTGTCGATTAATCTCTGCTTTACTTGTTTTACCAATCTTTTACAGATTTTTTATTCTTCATCTTCATTTAACAAGCGACAAGAAACGCCCTACAAAAGGCACCAATCAATCAACTGATCATTCGCAATAACAACAATAAGAATATAAACACTTCACACTTATTTGAATGTTGCGTGATTCTGTGTATGCGTGTGATTATGCTAAATACGTCACTTCCACATGTGTCACATTCGCCGCACGCTAGCACTAAAATGCTGTTCGTTCGTTGGCACACTCGTATCCCGGAGCTTAAAGTGAAGTATGTATGCTCTTACTACTACTATCTGTTTACTTACAAAAACTACAAAAACGAATAACGCTCTATTAGTGCTGGGAGTAAGAAAAGTTCGTCTTAACCGCGCCGTACGCAAATCAAAACTGAAATTGCAGGAAATGCGTTTTGGGACGCTAAGCAACAAACTGGCAACAGCACAATTATCAGCAACATTCAAAGACAGCAACAGCATTCGCAGCAGCGTCAACAGTAATTGAAAAGTCACTAAGCGACGAAGTCAGCCGAGGCCATTCAGCAACATGAAACAAAGTCAAGCAAGAAAATGACGCAAATAAATAACAGTAAATCAATGGAGCCAATGTGAACGGCTCGACAACCAAACCAAAGTACCACTGTTAATGCTAACAGCGCGTATATAGTGAACATACTGCTAATAGCAGCTGCAGCATACTTTAATGCACAACTTTACACTGGTGGATTTTTATTTATCAGTACATCCAGTTCACTAATTTCACAACAACTAACTTTTTCTGCTATTTACAATAAAACAATGCTGTAGTTCGTTTTATTTTAAACTTTTAATCAATAGTTCGTTGAAAATAAAAATTGTAAGTAGTCGAAAAGAGTTTTAAAAAGAATAAAAATTGCCAATGTCTTTTTACTCCGGTTGTAAATTTTTAGTACACAGTGATTCCTCCTTTGTTTTTTAATTGACTCATAATATTCTTGACGCCACAATTTCTCAGTCGGTTTGAATTTAGGGGATTTAACGGCCGTGTATTTAACACTTGGTATTAATGCTTACAAATCTTTCAGAAACTAATTTTAAAGATTTAAAATAAATTTTTAGTTTTAATTATAAATAAAATCAAAATTAAAAATGAAAGAAAAATTAAAGTTAAAGTTAAAATTTAAGATAAAAATTATATTTTAAATTAGTTTTATTTGCTCATATGTTTGTACATTCACCAAAAGTGAACCGTTCAAAACTAAATAGCCACTAGTGTTAATAACATCAACTAACATAACAGAATTCTGTAAACTTTTATGAAGAATTGATAATTGGCAGGCAAAAATGTTAAATAGCAGTGACAACAATATTTACATTTACAGTATTTTAAATTTAACAGCATTCAGTCATGAATAACAATAACATGCACTGTTGAGAGCAGTGTATGTATTTTCATGCTTCACACATGATTGGAGGCGCATATATTTAGCATTTGCAATAAAATTAAAAAATTTCAAACTTTTTAGAAAAGTGAAAAGTTTTTGTTTTGTTTTTGGCGTTCAATGGAGCTGCTTTTGAACTCCCTTCTACATGTGGATGTGTGTGTCTAAAATGGGTGCGTTTGCTGTGCGGTTTTCGGATTACCTCACCCCATTTACCTTACATTTTTATTTCGAATTTCAATGTTATTGGTAAATGTTGCGTGATGCTGCCATTTATATTTATTGTCTATATTTCACCCCTCATAGAATTTAGTTGAACCTTTCTATTAAACTTTCCTATTTTGCTGTTTTTCAAAATCAAATGTGTTTTAGTCAGAGTGTTGATATGACATTTGATTTGCATTATTCCATTCATGTGCAGTGGAAATGAAAGCTTAATAATAGAATAAACAGGAAATTGCACTTTTATGTGGCAAATACAGTGCCTTTGAATATTTTTACAATGTAAAGATTTCAAAATCAATTTATTTATGACATGAGGCAAAATAAAATTATTTTCATTTCTTTACAAACTTATACGTATTTATTTTTATTCTTATTTTTATTGCTGTTGTCATTTATTTGTGACGCCGGGTGATAAGGAAATCCATTGCATTATGCAGATTGCGGTTAATAGGTGGTCTGGAAAAAGGGGAATGGCTTGTGACACTTTGTGCGATTTGCTGCTGTTTTCTTTGCCACAACAGGAATTAAATATTAATAAAAAGAAATAAATTATTATTAATTATGTATAGAAAGATTGCCAACGCCATAAACAATTATAAAATAAAGAAACATTCTATGGGGATATACATAACTCAAAGAAGTCACGACGGCTTAAATATTTGTCAAAGAGTCAAAAATACAAAAAAAAAAAATTATTAAAAAATACAAAAATTTTAAAGCGGTCTAAGAAGGAAAATTAAAAAAATTTTGAAACGGTGGCAACATACATTTTGCATTACAAACTGCTAAAGAATTTTGTTTTAAAAAATATCAAACAAGCAAATAAAAAATAAAAAAAAGCTTTTTGTTTATTTTAATTTTGATAAAAGCTCAACTAACAATTAACCCACATATATATAGCATAATTCCATACCACTGTGTTTGAGTGCCTTATTGCCTTTTTACACTCTTCATCTCAGATAAGTAAAGGCACGCGTGAACAATTAAATAATCGGTTGGTGCGGCACGTTTAATTATATTTTTATTTTTAATTTTGTTTTTTAATTTTTTCTTTTTTTCTCTACAACCGTTAAGAAAATAAATTATCAATAATTGCAAGCAACAATTTCATATTGATTTGAAAATAGCGAAAAACAATTAAAAACAATGTGCCCACTAAATAGTGTTGACAATGTCGCGAGTCAAGTCAATACGAACTGAAGGAGCGAAATAAAATTACACTTTGAAATTGTTTGTGCCAATTTGGCAGAGTAACGACATGCTTGTAGACCACCTCTTAGATGCATAACTGTCTATGTTGTTGCTGGAATATGACTACTTATATTTACTTGATAGAAAGTGAAACGAATATAAAAATTGGCAATTTTGTTATTTATTGAATTTTCAATTATTTAATTTATTACAAATAAACGCGTTGAAATGCAATAAATATGTTTGGCATGACTCTATGTGGTGTTAGTAAAAATTTAACATACATACACATACATATAAATAGTACTTATGTTGATATTTTAGCGAATTTCTGGCTACTTGATAATATGTTAGCTATGTTCGATGACCTGATTGACAGTAATAATTGCAACTGAATTTTACTAACTGCGTTTGATGAGGCAAAGAGCCAGTAAAATTTGCACCGGAAGAGATATTTTGTCACTTGCTAATTCTTACTGACATTTCTCACCGAACAGAGCTAATATTAGTTTAATCGTTATTTTTTAAGTTTTATATTAAGTTTATTTATTAAAACGGAAAATGAATTTGAAGAAAAATTATTATCGGCTTATATTGAAAAAATCATTAAGACTAGAAATATGCGATTGATCGAATAATAATTTTTTCATTTAGTTTCCGAATTAATATAGATTTAAAAACCAAATACCAGACGAGCAGTATAAAATATTACATTTTCAATTAAAGAATAATCGATTAATCAGCTTCCAATAATCATACTGCCATTCAGAAGGTCAGGGTTCAAGTCCTGGTGCGTCCAACGTCCAAAAATTTTAGAAAAATAATTTATATAAAAAAATTAAGGTAAAGCCTTTAAACTGCGGTCAGCCCTCGGCAGGGAGTGTATTTCGGACATGAAATAAATGATTCTAATAAAAAGACTTAGTATAAACTGTAGGTCCCTCTATTTTCTTGAAAAAAGCATCAAGAAGCAAAACCACAAATTGGAGGAGCAGATCGGCTGAAAAATTGCTTCATTTACAACACTTTGTCTTGAATGACTGATGGATAAAAGCACAGCTTAAACCACTTGTCGTAGAGACCGGGAACTTGTTGGGTGTGTTCTGCGTATGATCTTTATAAAGGTTTTTGGAAAGAGCATCTTTAACCGATCTATTTGAAAAAATCAAGTTTACATTTAAATCCTTTGGTACAAAGGTACCTTTTAAATTCACATAAGAGATAATTTTTTTTTCGGGAAGTGGATCAGAGATCGATCTATTTGAAATTTTTGTATTCATCGTTTGATTTACACAAAACTTAGTATAATAGTAGCTTCAAGTACGAATTGTTATTGGTACACTTTTTTCTTCCGCGAAGTAAGTTTGGACCGAAAAAATTAAACTTAATTACTCATTTCATTTAGCTGATATATATTTGCCTAGATTGCTACGGAGAAGGCGATTCAATGGCTCGGTTTGGTTTAATATGTTGAGCATAAGTAAAAGGCTTTTTGCCAAGGTCAATATGTGGAGGCCTGTTCGAAAAAATCGTACTCATAGTTCGATTTGTTTTTTATATCGGGAGCATAGATACCTCTTTGCCTAGACTCATATGTGGAAAACTTTTCTTTCTTTTTCATATATTTTAGCATAATAATTTATAAATTATTTTTTTTTATTCGGTCGCGGGCAATCTCTAGTCTGTCGAAATATAGCTTGTATTGATGAAACATTCGGAAGGAAATTAAGACTAAATGCGTAATTCCAAAAAAAAGGTATTAAAAATATTTATTTTATTGCGAGTAAGGTAAAGCGAAAGAGAAAAATGTATCCTGATATTTTTAAATTGATCTGCAATTTTCTTAAATAATTTTCAGCGCATCATTCGCAATAGCTGCAATTTTTTCAATATGGAATATTATTAAGACAAGAAAAAAATTCAGCTCTTATGAATTTAATTATAATAATTTTTTTTTTTTGCTCAATCAGTTTTCGCAAATTTTTTTGCGAATAGTTGATTATTCGCATATCTCTAATTGGAACCAAAATTATTTAAATAACTGCCTTCTATTAAAGTATTTAAAAAAACTAAGATTCGAGGTTTTCTTTCTCGTTCTTCAAATAATTACTTTGTGAAGTGAATTAAAAGGTTTTACTCTTATTTCTATTTTTCATTTGGCACCTTATGAACTAAGCTGATTACTTAAAATGTTAGATTTTTAAATTAATATTAGCTTATGGTTATTGTTGTAAGTTGTTTTAAAATAATTTAAATACAATTAGAATTATTTCTGCTCCAACGCTGCTACCCATCTCTGCTGCAGACAAATCTTTCCCAAATTGCCGCTTTTTCCTGCCTGTCACTTACATACATACATACATACATATGTATGTATGCGGCTCTTCTAAGCATAGCCGGCGCATGTTGCACAGCAGTAAGTTTTGTAGTAATGCAATTTACATAATCGTTGTCGATTTATCCGCTGACAATTACTCACATCATCTTTACATCTGACATCTGGTTCGACTGGCTTCAAAGTATCGCGCTCCACATCGAATAGAGTGTTCAATTCTGGAAAAGAAAACAAAAAGCACAGTTGGTATTCAGGTTAATTGTGACATTATAATTTGTTTAAATAAGGAATTGTGACTAAGAACAATTGAGTGCTAACGAGATTTGAAAGGGGAAACAATATCTTCATTCAACAAAAAAAAACATCTTATGCAAAGACCATCAAATATTTGTAGTAATGTAAAAAATAATAGTTTTGTGTTACTTAAATATTAACTGTTTGGACTTAAATTCTTTTCATGTAGAAATCTTCAAAATATTTTTTAAGTTAAAATTTGCAATGCGACGTCAACTTATTTAATTTGATTTGTCAACTTTACAAAATAAAAATATTTTCATGTTACTTTTTCTAAATATACTTTCTATCTTTGTCCTTATTAAACTACAAGATTTAAGTTAATTTTTTTCAAATATTTTTACTGTGAACTTTTTTAAAAATCTTACTTTACTTTAATTTTAATAATTGAATTTATGCAGTTGAGTCAAAGTTTTAGTTCTGTTCGTTGGCCTGATGAGCAGTAAAAATTGTTAATGAATTCAACTGCACCGCGTTCGGGGAGAGAACGCAATTTTGATGTTTACGGGCCTATTCTGCGGAGGTAACAATATTTTCTTCGGTATTAATATTTACCATTCAGTAAATTTTGTTACTATTTCGTATTCTGAGTTCACTGTCACTCAGTAATTATTACCAGCGAAATTGGAGGTAACAAAAAATTTACTGTTTCATTTTTTGTTAGTTTGAGGAAAAATAAAAACCAAAATGGGTAGGGCTGGAGATCATTGAAGATAAAAGTAGAAAAAGGCGCATGCTAAGGAGTTTGCGAGAAACAAATGATCCATTTAATTTGGAAGATAGCGTTTTCATTCAGGTTTTTTTGTCGCTTAGGCATATTTTCCAAAACTAGGTTCAAATACTTATGATTTAATAAACACATAAAACAAGTATTTTATTTTGAAGTGCCCCGTCTTCCATTTCGATGTGAATATTTTTCGTTTTACTTTACCAACTGGCAAATATAATTTTACAAGGACGAAAAATGCAGTGCTGCCAAAGTTTTTTGAAATGTTGCAATCACTTCGCTAGAATAGAAATTTCAATTTCGGGTGTTAAAAAAGTAGCAAAATTTACTTTACTAGTAGCAGTGAGAATAATAATATTTTAAAACTTTAATATGAAATATACTAAAAAAAGAAGTGATTTAATGTAATTTTGTTATATTTAAGTGAATGACTACAAAGATCCAATTAAATAGTAATGATACCCGTTACACCAAAACTTGGTGGCAGTGTAACGGAATTATTTGCCTTATTGGATGTTAGAAATGTCAGCAGATTTCGGAATCCTTTAATTTACTAGGAAGTAGTGTAAACGAAGAGAACTCACAACATTGCGAAGAAAAATTATTCTACAGTCGCAGTGACGATAGTGCCCAAAATGAAATCTTAGTCATAATTAAAATGAAAATTCAATTTCTTTCTGAATATGATTGGACTGTATTCGAAACAAATACATGATATTCTAGAATGATCAATTACCATAAACCGCCCCACATGGCTGGTTAGAAATATTTTGGTCGTATAACAATCATTAATATTGAAAATCTGAGCCCTTTCAGATATGTATATTGATATCTTTGTCGTCTTACGGCTAGTGAGCAAGAAGAAATTCGTCGTCATTAAAAAATGCCATAAAACGTTGAAAATAATCAAAAAACAGAGCTCAAGTAAACGTTTAACCAGTTTTTGACTTATCGTCTGATCACTCGCCTTGTTTGCATTTTAGCAACGAGTGTTCGCAAATTCGTTTATTGTTCATTGCTCGAATATTTGCGAGCACGTGCTCGAGTAATTCTAGGTTTTTCGAGCATTTTTAAGCATTTTAAATAAAAAATTTGATTTTCTTCCCAGAACACCTTTTTATAATTTTAATTTTATTTGTGCAAAAAGCTCAGGAATACTGAACAAATTTTAACAAGCAAAATTGAATTTGGAAAAATTTCAAACTATCATTTGAGTAGTGGAGTAACGAACGGGTATCAAGCGAGTATCGAACTACTCACATTGCTCGATACCCGGGTATCCAGAGCTCTGGAAATGTGTTTAGGTTCAACCAATAAATTCACAAATTGAATTAAGTAAGAAAAATTCATAAGTGCGCGTCCAAAATCGGGCACGGCTCTTAAATGCATAGCAAGTGTCGGCAATGCAGATGATATTTTGACAACACTAATGCAATTGGCTGCGATAATCTCAACGCCCAGACCATCTAACTTCCATAAGAGAAAACATTTTAGCGGTCCTAAACAAACAAAACATTAAGAGTTTGGCAACCAAAAAAGGCAACTCTGAAGAGATTGGCAGCGGTTGCGTTCCCCAGCTTTAAATCATAAGTAAAATCACTTTTGAAAATCATTTCAATCTCTCTCAGCGACGTCTGATACAACCATTATTTGTGACGTATAGTTAAAAGTTTGGAAAGTACGATCATTTGTGACCTTTTAATCAAAACCGACAATGTTGCGTGGACTCGAAGCAACGAAGAAAAGACAAATATCCAACTTTTGTTTGCTCCTATAAGCCAATTAGCTTAACTACCATATTCTCCAAAATCTTAGAAAAATTTTTATCGAAAAAATTACAGCCAGTTTCCTAAAATATTTATGTCAGCCTTCCTTATTGGCTAGATATTTCGAATTAGACAAAAAAGGTACACCACTACTACACCACTACTACCATTTTGAAATATTTGCTGGTGTTATACAAAATAGTGTTCTAGAACCAGTCTAACATTTAATTTATGCAAGCGAACTTCCCACAAACCGAAACCTCGTCACATCAACGATCTGCAATACTTAGTGTATGTACATTCGAGCCCCGTTGTGACCACTTATAGATCTCAACAACATTTCAAAGTAATAGAAAAATGTTTATTTTTTCGCAGAATTAAAATCAATGAGTCCACGTGTAAACAAGTAATATGTACCCTTAGAAACACATGTCCTTCCATCTTTGTAAACGGTAACACAATACCGCAAAAAGAATTCCTGACATTTCTGGGAGTTGCATCGGATAAGAGACTTACCTGGAGTAACCACATAGATAAAGAGACTTCCCAAGCTAAATTGAAAGTTACAAAACTACATTGGATTATAGGTCTTAGTTCAAAACTGATTTTAGAAAACAAAGTGTTACTTTTTGATATGATTATATCAAAAGTATCACCTTGGACGTACGAAATCCAATTATCGATCTCATCATCTAAATCTCTTTCAAATATAATTGAAAGTATACAGTCTAACACCTTAAAAGTTAAGTTTGGTATGTAAAGGATATCTAATCATCCAAACTTTCTAGCTTTAACTACAGCAGAACTACCAAAAATGTTTAAATGTTTAATCAAGACCCCTGTCGCATTTAATTTTACTGGAGATATTTTCCTTTATATATAACATAATTTACTATGAGCCATTCTTTTGAGTTCTTTTTTATGAAATTCCAAAAATTTAAGTGTTTGGTATCCCTAATTATATCTTCATAGACATATTATTCGTTAAAGCAAAATTATATTTATGATTTATTGAACTTTGCTTCCTTTTTTAACCGTTGCTACTTCATTATTATATATAAAAATTAGTTTTAAGATTTTCGAAATTGTTATTACTTTCTAAAAAGAAAGATTAAATAAAATACTTTGAGAAAAAAATATCTCAATGCGGTCGCAGAGTGTACGACGTGAAATAAAAACGCCACATAAAATACATCAGCCGTTCAGAGGCGGCTTAGCATATACTTAGATCACACCACAAATTGGACGATATTTACTGAGAGAGTTATTGGTTAAATTTTACTGAAATTTCTCTCTTAACAGAGCTATTGTATTATCAAAAATAAAATTATAAACTGATAACTGAGCAATTACTGTTAAATTCAATAATTTAATGGAAGTTGAAGAGTTCGTCTCTCATTTATTTCTTATTTTTATCAGTTTCTTATCATTAAAATCTTTAATTAATCTAATTCTATGTTTTGAAGTGCCTACCTTCACATTTTTGCACATTACACGTTCCATAAACCGGTTCGCGATCTAAGTATTTACAGTTGACGGATTCAACCATAGCCTTTTGTTTCCAATCAAATTCCAAACACTTTGCATAACGCCTTTGAACACCCTCGCCACAAGAGCGAGAACACTAACACAAAAGAAAATTAAAGGAAATTTTAATGGATAATAAGAGGTACATGTGAGTTGCTTTCGAAAAACTGTTACTATAATTTTTTGGGATAAAAAATACACTTCTGTCCAAATACTCACCTCCGACCACTCCGAGTAATGCCACTTCGGCCCACAGAAAGTCACCTCTTTGTGGGTGCAATTCATAACAGCACGCGGTCGTAGAATGAGATCGCACTCGGATTCATCCACTGCCACACCATCTCGCAGACAAAGTACCACACGTTTACGTTGCAAATTAAGACAGTCGCCCGTACAGTTACTCCACTCCGAAGCAAACCACGTGCCGTACTCACAAGCAGCTGCTTGTTGACGACCACTGCAAATACGCTTTTGCTCCGGAGTGTAGCGAAGATCACACAGATCTGTGTAAGGCGGTGTGCGATCGCAATAAATCGAACGATGCTCATAGCCAGCGCCACAATCTATTGAACACTCTTGATTCCACTCGGACATTAGCCAAACACCCGATTTATCTACACGATCATCGCGCAGATGTCGACGCAATGGAGTAGTTGAATTATAAGTGCTACGCACCAATGTGGGTGCTATTACCAAGCGCGAAAATACACGTGGCGTCTTGTCTGGGCCACGTGCGTAAATCTTACGCCTATTCAGCTTTGGACAATTGCAAGTCTCATTCAACTCTGGCAGTTTTTCTTGTTCACACAAATTCTCAGCAACCATTTCAACTTTACCATTTATCTGCTCCTGCACACAATTCACGTAACGTGTGCGTAAACCCTCTGCTTGCCCTTCGGAGCATTTGCATTCACCATAGTCTGCAGCGCGCCAATAAGCTGGGCATAGACCACGATTACAACGATAGATGTCCTCACTAAAGACTGGCTTCTCGACAAAGGCGCAACGTTTTGGTGAATAATAACGTGTTGGCGAATCGCGTATACAACGAAAGATGGGTGGTTGTATACCAGGCCCGCACGAACGATTGCATTCCCCAAAACCGAGTAGCTTCCATGAAAACTTCCGTCGCTTGCGTTCACGTGCGCGTGTTACTTGAACCGACACTGTCCCATCGACGCTGTTCTCATCGCCATCGTCCAAGGGTTGGCCAACTTCATTCCATTGCGACTGCAGCTCATCCTCTTCAGCTATTGAAGCCGATGGTACGGGTATTGTGTAATCGTATTTAACCCCTGTATTGTGTCCGCGCACAAAAAGCTAAAAATAAAAGAAAAAAAGAAAGGGAAACATTTTTATTCTTAGAATCAGTTGACGCAGATGGCGACTTACCAACAGCACCACAGGACTACTTATCGGACCTTTTGAAGTTATTATGCTCAATTCACGGTTGTAATCGTAAGAATCACCATCATACTCAAATGTGCCACTCTCCGATGCGCGATTATTACCGTTAAAAAGGAAAATGTCATCAGTTGTTTTAAGTGCTGTACAAAAGTTAAGAAGAATATTTTGAATAAGGAAAATTTAAAATTTGTATTTGTAAATGACTAAACAACTTTTCACGTTTTTTTTTTTTTTATATATAATAACCTTCTTAAGTTATCTTTTTTCAAAAGCTACGCTGTCCCTATTGTACTTACCCAAAAGATTATCACTTCGTGCCAACTGTTTTATTGTCAAATTCAACGCTCCCGCTGGTATTGTATGCACATAATTATACCCATAACTCAACTTCGCTTTGCTAAACACCTCTGATACCATCTCACATAACACGGAACCGCATTTAGTTTGTGCATCGCTTGTGGTGGCGGGACGTATGGCTCCACTTTCGTGAACTGCCTGTAACAGAATATAAGAAAGGGCATTTTTACCAATTATTTGTACATTATTTTATTTTTTTATTTTGCTTTATTTCATTTTATTATATTTTATTTTGTTTTATTTAAATTTATTTTATTTTTTTTTTTTATTTCTTAAATTATTTATTTTTATTTTATTTCATTGTACTATATCTTATTTTATGTTATATAATTTTACTATATTTCATTTTGTTTTATTTCACTTTATATCAGTTTATTTTATATTATTTATTAATATTATTTTATTTTACTTTATTCAGTTTTTTTATTCATTAATTTGTTATTTATTTTTAATGGTTTAAGTTGTTTATATATTTCTATTTTCTTTTTTATATAATTGTTTTTTTTTTTTGTTATCTTGTTTTATATTTTTCCTTTTTTATATTATTCTTTTATTTTATGTAGAATTATTTTGTGTTGATTTAACATATTTTATTTTATTTAATTTTTTTATATTTATTTTACTTTATATTATTTTATTTTATTTTATTTGAATTTACTTTATGTAACACTATTTTATCTAGTTTTATTTAATTAAGTTTGATTTCATTTCCTTTTGTTTTGTTTTATTTTATTTTGTTTTATATTATTTTAATTTATCTTATTTTGTTATTGGTTTTATTTTATTTTATTTTATTTTAATTCATTTTATGTTATCTTATTTAAGTTTATATTATTTTACTTTTTGTTATTTTGCCTTAAATTATTTTAAATTTTATTTGATCTATTTCACTTAAATTTAATTTTATTATAAATTATTAAAATTTATTTGACTTCATTTTATGTAATTTACTTTATTTTCAGTTATTTCATTGTTTTATATCATATTATTTAATTTTATTTTATTTTATTTTAAATTATTTAATTTTTTTGTATTTAATTTTTTTTTAATTTTATTTTACTTTTAATTTTGTATTGATTTTTTATTGTTTAATACATTGTTTATTAATGACTTACCACATTGAGTATAACTAAAAGTGCCCAAAGTTTTCTCATATTGAATGAGATGAAATTACCATATTAAAAATCGAAGTATTTTTTTCTTTGTATTTGTTTATTGTATTTTTTAGTTTTATTTTATTTCAAACCAATTTGCATTTTTTTGTATTTGTTAATTTTTTGTTAAATCTTATTCATCTAAGCACTTTTCAAATTTTTTTTAATTTATCCAGAAAACTATTAGAAAATATTTGATTTATTGTGCAACTTTAAAAAATAAATTCAGAAGTATTCATAAATTTTCATTAAACGTACCCTTATTTTGTTTTTGCAATCAATTAATTAGTTTTAAAATAAATACATTTCCTTAGTGAAAATATCCAAAGTTCAATTAACTTATCAAAATTGACCTAAATACACTCATTAATTTTGTGCCCAAGCACTGGTCTATGAAATTCTTTTATAAAAGTAGCTATTTTTTTTTTTTTGTAAATATGTACAGACACGTATGTATATGCCGGTAATAAGGGAGAACATGGCATGTGCAGCATATGGTAAGATGAATCAATTAATTACACTAACCAATTTATTGAAAATGAATTAACTATTTAAATAAAACTACAAAATAATAAACTTAATTTTACTTAAGCCACTAAAGAACAACAAACAATAGTTCGCAATGGCAATTGTATTTGGGCAAACACACACATAGCAGTGTGTCGTTGCCATATTCTTTACCAAGTCCGCAGCAAACCTGTCTGGATCTGGACCACACAAATGCAATCGACAATGTAAGAGCACTCGCTTATGCTTCTACGTGTTTCAATATTTTTAAGCATTTGAATGCACTTAACAAAAATATGTAAATATATCAATACGAGTATATACATATATGTGAATTGAATTGCTTTCGAAGCATATTAGAATGCCACGGCATATTGATCGGTGGTGTTGTGGTGACGCTGCGTTGCTAAGCGCCGAAGCTTGCCAAATCGCATAAATCTTAATTAAAGCGTTTGCGTTTTTCAGCGCCAGCTCGCACAACACTTGTATATGTGCGAACGTTTGTAAAATATACATACATATGTAGGTGTATTGCAAAAACGCGCTCTTAACGCCAGATCGCTGACGCTACCGCTTTTTGCCAATCATGCCTCAAACGGACGACATTTATGAATTGCTACACAACCATCGAATCAAGAAATCAATGACCATACATATATTGAAATTTTTACTTTAATAGGCAGCTTGTATACAGTTATTCACGTTAACGTTTCAATTAAATATTACTTTCTAGTATTTCAATATACCTTTCATAGATAGTTATCGTTAAAGGCTGTTGTCGTCTCTGACACATACGTAGCTGTTATATTTTCCGAAATGTTTTTTTTTTTCTCAAACAAAAGTATCAAATGGAAGAAGCTTAAAATGTAAAGTTTGGTTAAAATTTAACTTCGTTTGTGAAGGGTATACAATTTCCATAAGAAAGAAGAGCATTCTTTTCGTTGGCTTTGCTCGTCAGGTAATTTATACATACTTCTATCACTCAATTATTCCTTTTTTTCTAAGAGCATCTTTTATTTTCAATGCTTCGAAATATGATTGAGCGGGTAAGTGTCGAAAAACCAAAATTAGATTTCAAAATTGGAGAATTTTATTTCATATATTGGTACAACTGAATAAGCTGATGGGGGAAACTTGTGTATAATTTTTCAATTTCCAAACTAACAAGTGCCGAAATATCACTCCATTTATGCGCTATAATAGAAATGTGTGTATATTGATACACACGCAGACAGAATCAGCAATTTAGATGCACTTGACTCTTGGCACATTCTCAACGACAAATCTCCACCACCAGCAACAACCACTTTTGACCCCACTGTAATGCCTTCCATGACTCTTCTTCTTACAAAAAGCTGCCTAACGGTCTGACCCAATTATCACTTACTAATTAGCCTAGAAATGAGCTCGGCAATGAAAAATCTATTCCTAAGTTTATTTATTGCGGTTTGGAAATTTTCATAGTTACTACATTAGACCATTTTTTCTTTGGAGCGGTTTTTTATTATAATTTTTTTTCTTTTTTTTTTAATTTTTGCCCAAAACCAGAGTTAAAGTGGCTGTCTTCTCGATTATTTAGTGCTAAAATTTATAAGTATTATTCAAGTATTGGCGCAGAATATCAGCTATTATTGATCATAAATTGTATGCTGGCAAAGTGCGTGTGGCATATATTATATATACAAACATACTCGTATGCCTGATGGATACTATGGTATATAGTGCATGTATGTATATTCTGATCTTCAGTAACAGCTGTCGCATATAAATATGCATACGAGTACATACAAGTATGTAATAAAATTTTGACATATGCATACATTTAACTTTTTTTCGAATGAGTCAATGTGGTTATTAAAAAGACATTAGCACAGTTGCCGAAGTTGATCTGCTTTTGAATTGAAAGTTTTTAAAAGATCTATATTTGTACAATATTTTTTAAGGGTTGATATCACACAATAATTTAGAAAACTCGATTTTGAATTTGTTATGATATTTTTTCGTCCCATGCCATGTCGCCAGCAGGTTTTTCTCAGGAAAATGCAATAATGCAAGCAGTTAAGTACTCGTATTATGTTTCCGGAGTTGCTCATCAAGCTTTGATTAGCAGGAACTGAGGCTTAATTTAAGGATTTAGAGGACATGATGTAAAAAAGTTACAGCAAAACATTCCGTTAGTACTGTCGCGTACTTGCCGTGTTTGTTAATTTTTTTTATATATATATAATTAGCGCTTTGTAACTGCTGAAGCGATTTTTCGGCCGAGCTCCCCAACAGTTTATACTAAGCCGACTCTGAACGGGTGACGGTCTTTTTACGAAGAGCTTTATTTCATGTACGAAATGCACTCGGAGGGATGTACATTCCCTGTCGAGGAGCGACCGCAGTTAGAAAATTTAGCTTAATTTTTTTTATTTAAATTAATTTTTCCTAAGTTTTGAATGTTGGTGGCACTGGGATATGAACCCGAGCCTTCCGAATATCAGTACGCAATGCTAACGACTCGGGTACCGCGGCTACCTTTGCTCTGCCTAATATTCCTCTCACAGTAACATCTGCCTACCCAATGATATAAGTCTCCAAAAGTAGGTGGTCTTGTCAGAACGGTTCCTAAACTAAATGTTAAAGAAACGCGATGTATTGAGCGGGGTGTCGTCCTTCTCTTTGATGTGGCGAGGAAAAAAATATCCCAGTGTACTTGATGTACCATGGTGATTGGTTTGCCAGGCCAAGTAATTGAGGTGTGAAAAAACGTGGAAAGTCAGTCGAGGGGTCAAGCTAAGTACCAATACCGTTAGTGCGCGATGAGGAATTGCATCCTTCCAAAGATGACCCTGTTAGACCAACAATATACCTTCGCCCCTAATCAAGTATAACATGCGAATCATTGCACATTGGTTTGCAGTTGGGGCGTCCGACTGTATTCTTAAGAAGCGTCTCGAATACCGATCCCCCTCCAGAGTATCGTTGACTTACTGCGGCATGGAGCTCTGCCGTAGTCGACGGTTTAGTTCCCTTCCCTTTTTTCCGATCGCCGAAAGGTCTCGGCTCAGTGGGTGACCAAAGAACCAGTTGAATTGTTGAAAACAAATCCAATAACAATTCAGTCCAACAGTCCTCGGGAACCGCTTGGACATTGCCGAAAAGGCCTACACGGCCAACTTCTTTAAAACCACTTCGGCCTTCGGGACACCTGGAGGGAAAGCATTCCCCACAAGTAAGAAGCTTTGGTCCTTAATGGAAAGGCAAAAGCGCAATGGGTAACAATATACCCCGACAATCAGGCTGCAATTAGATCTCTTCAATGTAGTAGTACCACGTCAAGCGAGGCCATAAAATGTGGGAACTTTCTTAACAAACTCTCCGCTAAGTACAGCCCTGCTATTGTCTGGGTACCTGGTCGCCGGGACATCCCAGGCAATTGCAAGGCAGATGAACTTGCAAGGGAAGGAACCCTTCTACTCACGATAAAACATGCACACGATGCAGGTTTACCTCCGTTCACGGCAAAGTACATGCTTAAACTAATTTTTACCAGGGAAGCTGATACAATATGATTGAACTAGATCGCTTACAACGTGACCAGACAACTATGGCGGAAGGTGGAAGCGAAAAAATTGAAACATCTTATTCTTCTAGAACGGTTCTCCACAAACATAATGACTGGTATAATAACTAGTCACTGTTTAATGGAGCTTCGCGGGTAAATAATGGACTGTCAATCCGATGATTTTTGACGCAGATTTTTGCAGAAGAGGAAGAGTCCATCCAGCATTACCTTTGTCACTAACCAGCTTTGACTTCTGCGCGACACATGTTCCTTGGACTACTTTTCTTTGACTGTCTTGCTGAGACAACCCCAGCGAATATTGGGAACTTCATTGCCTTCATAAGGCACATAGTTCGATCATCTGAGAAGGTGAAGGAGAAAGTCTCAGCGGTATCACAATGGACTTATTGGCCAGTGGTGAAGCCAGTGGTGAAGCCAGAGTTTGGCGTCAACATCGCAGGAAGATCAATTCAAATCGGGACGCACAATCGATCGAGAAACGAGAAGTCTAAGAGGAGGGTTGCGATTATCAATTCGTTAAACTTAATATAATTATTGAATAACAAGAAATAATTAAAAGATTTAATTTACTTATTCATTTACATTATAATTTTTAAAAATAAGTAAATCAATTTAAATAAAAAATAACAGCTTTGAAAACTATTTCACGAACAAATTGTTTACAAAGCTTTGTTAAAAAATGAACAGCAGAGAGTTTTAAACATTCTCAAAATGATTACAGAATTCATATTTCAAAGAGAATTCAAAACAAATGGTTTCTATTTTTACTTAGTTATTTCGAAAACCGTTTTGGGTCAAAGTCTTTTTATAAGAGCTCTTTGGATATTAATGGTTCAGTATTAAACCCTTTTATTACTATAATAATCTACAGAAATATGATTTTATATTTACAACACCAACACATCGGTTTACATCATTCCACTTGATCTCCTAACTCAGATTTATTTCTACAAAATAATTAGTCCCCGAACAATTTTTATTAGTTTCTCCATTACAGACTTCATAAATTTC